AGGCTTGTCTTGCTACCAAAGACAATTCCATAATTCTGGATGCCAATTTAAGAACTTCTACCGACATATCCAAAAGGTATACGTTAGCCAAGTGCATGTTCTGAAACACATGGCTAAGTTCTATAACCTGGTCAGAAGATAAAATATCTTGTACCGTATTTAGCCAAATGCCATTAGCTCTGGCAACTGCTGCTCCTGCCAGTAAAGCCCTGCATTGAAAACCGGCCGTCTGGTAAGCTCGCCTACAAGAGGTTTCGGCTCTTTTATCCATTGGATTCTTTAAAGCTTAGGTTTCCCATATAGGGATAGTGGTCTTTTTAGCAATCTGCGCCACCTGAACATCTACTTTTGAGAGATCTTCCCAGATAACTTCACCAGCCAGTCTGAAGATATCCTTAAAGTGTCTGGATATAAAGGCACGTTTCTCAGGGTTTCTCCATTCCCTGAATATTAGAACAACCAGGTTTTGTTGAACAGAAAAACCTTTTTTAGGATTCTCAGGGCCTTGTGCTAGGATTGTCAGGTTAACTTCCTTTATGAATTTTCGGATTTCATCCGAAGGAAACCCCACTGGTTCACTTGATGAGGATCCTGACATCTGAATTTATTGAGGAAATATATTCCCCGGATGACGTTTCAGATGTAGACGATCTTTTCTTGATCTTTTGATGTCCTTGCTGTATAGGGGATTCCACCTTTTTAGACTCTTTAATATAGTCTCCAAGGTCTGGGCCAGATTTTCTTGGAACCAGGTTAGGAAAGATTGCATCTCTTTTTGCTTATCTCTTTCCAAAGAATTTGCAGTACACTGACTGCACACCTTCTTCCTTGATCCATCTGGAAGAGGAGTTGCACATTCACCGCAAACTAGAGGTTTAGATTTTACCGTAACCTTTCTTGGCATGGAGGTAGACAGTTTTTCCTTGTCCATCTCAGGATAAGCTGGGCTAGACATATCTGTGTGAGAAAATATAAACGGAGGCTTAGATTGTTTGATATTTCCTACAAATTATCCAGAAAATATTTTAGAGTAAAGATTTCTTTTAATCTTACCTCAAAATACCTCTGAGCCATGTGGGGGGGCAGGTGACACGGCGTACCTCTTCTGACCTGCATCCATGCAGTCAGTGGGTACCTGCACAGCTCTTTAATATGCCAGAAAATCAAATTTTCACAAGGTTTTTTTTTTTTTTTGTACCTTTAAGCTTCCGGTTTGCGCATGCGTTTTAGCACACCCGGGCGTGCGTTCCACCGCTGTGCGTCTGCTCAGAAATGAGCTCCGCCTCCAGGAAGCATTTTGCCGGAACCATTCTCGGCATAAGAGAACTAACCTCCATTTGCTCTGTAACCATTTGGGGAGCATGGGTCTCTCAGCATACCGGCTGGGCAGCTCTCGGACCGGGTCCCCCAGACAGACAGCCCGTGTGTCTCACCCTGTGGATGTCCTGTCCTTCCCTATCGTGACAAGAAAGCTAACTGGGGTAGGTTTTGCGGTAATGCATTTCATAAGGCAAGGGGGAGGGTATTTTGATCTTAAATTACTTGTTAGATGTCTTGTCCACAGGGAGGAGCAAAACCTAGAAGTTACTGCCACCATATGACAAAAAAATAAAATAAATATATATATATAAAAAAAATTTAAAAAATTCAGAAATCATTTAAAATAAATAGAACTTCTTAAAGGACCACTATAGTGCCAGGAAAACACACTCATTTTCCTGGCACTATAGTGCCCTGAGGGTGCCCCCACCCTCAGGGTCCCACTCCCGCCGGGCTGGATGGCAAGGAAAGGGTTAAAACTTTCCTTTTTTCCAGCGCTGGGCGGGGAGCTCTCCTCCTCCTCTCCGCCTCTGATCCTGCTCTTCGGCTGAATGCGCATGCGTGCCAGGAGCTGCGCGCGCAGCCAGTCTGATAGGAAAGCATTCATAATGCTTTCCTATGGACGCTGGCGTCTTCTCACTGTGATTTTCACAGTGAGAAGCACGCAAACACCTCTAGCGGCTGTCAATGAGACAGCCACTAGAGGCTTTAGAGGCGGGATTAACCCATTTATAAACATAGCAGTTTCTCTGAAACTATGTTTATAAAAAAAAAAAAGGGTTAATCCTAGAGGGACCTGGCATTAAGCTGAAGTGGTCTGGGTGCCTAGAGTGGTCCTTTAAGAGAACAATTCTTACAGAATCTCTCACACTAGCAAAAGAAGTAGATTACATCTAACAGTGAGCAGTCAGTGTTCATTATATATACACACACACACTATACAAACACACTGCGCGCATTATATACACACACACTATACAAACACACTATACCCATGGCAACGCTCTGACGGCCGCGGGTCTCACGAGACTTACACTGGGGAGCTGGAGGAGCTGCTGGGATGTGAGTAAACGCTTGCTGCCCGGCCCCCCAGGACCACCGGGCTTGTAATGAGCCTGGCGGTCCTAGGAGGTATAATCGGCAATAACGGTATCTCTATTGGCCGATACCGATATTGCCAAAAATACCGAATATCAGCCGATTATATCGGTAATACCGATAATTGGTCGATCCCTACTATGCGGCCCCCCAAAGAAATGCCACCCCACACCGTTACTGACCCACTGCCAAACCGGTCATGCTGGGAGGATGTTGCAGGCAGCAAAACGTTCTCCACGGCGTCTCCAGGCTCTGTCACATCTAACATGTGCTCAGTTTGAACCTGCTTTCATCTGTGAAGAGCACAGGGCGCCAATGGCGAATTTGCCAATCTTGGTGTTCTCTGGTAAATGCCAAACGTCCTGCACGGTGTTGGGCTGTAAGCACAACCCCCACCTGTGGACGTCGGGCCCTCATACCACCCTCATGGAGTTGGTTTCTGACCGTTTGAGCAGACACATGCACATTTGTGGCCTGCTGGAGGTCATTTTGCAGGGCTCTGGCAGTGCTCCTCCTCTTCCTCCTTGCACAAAGGCAGAGGTCCTGCTGCTGGGTTGTTGCTCTCCTACAGCCTCCTCCACGTCTCCTGATAGCGCCTCCATGCTCTGGACGCTACGCTAACAGACACAGCAAACCTTCTTGCCACAGCTTGCATTGATGTGCCATCCTGGATGAGCTGCACTACCTGAGCCACTTGTGTGGGTTGTAGACTCCGTCTCATGCTACCACTAGAGTGAAAGCACCGCCAGAATTCAAAAGTGACCAAAACATCAGCCAGGAAGCATAGGAACGGAGAAGTGGTCTGTGGTCACCATCCGCAGAACCACTCCTTTATTGGGGTGTCTTGCTAATTGCCTATAATTTCCACCTGTTGTCTATCCCATTTCCACAACAGCATGTGAAATTGATTGTCACTCAGTGTTGCTTCCTAAGTGGACAGTTTGATTTCACAGAAGTGGAGTTACATTGTTTTGTTTAAGTGCTCCCTTTATTTTTTTGAGCTCATATATATATATATATATATATATATATATATATATATATATATATATATATATATATATATATATATATATATATATATATATATATATATAGTGTACGATCCAGAGAAAAGGGACTGCAAGTGCACAACAGGGAGCCGATTGAGTTAGCTGGGGAGCCGATTGAGTTAATGTAATTAAGGCCCCAGTCGGAGTAGTGTCAAGGAGGGACAATTGTGCATTAAATTCTTTGTGTAGGATTATTAAACAGTGTTACATATAAATAGCTGTGTAATAAACATTCATTCTACCTCTTACCTTCAGCCCAATTTGTAGGAGAAAGGCAATTGTAGATCTTTAATCACTGCTCTTCAGGAGGAAGGGTCTCTTCACTGCAGCCTGGTCTAACGGAAGAAGTCCTCAGCAATCCCAGTCAAGCTTCAGAGACTACCCACTACCTTTTTAACTATTCTCATTGTCACGAACGCATTCTACTTCAAGAGTGTGCGTGACGTAGTTGTAATGGTGAAAGGGTTAAAGTTCACCATTTGTCTGCACTAGACCAGAAATAATGACAAAATCCCCCTTAACACCACCCACACAATAATATAACTTACTATTTTAACGCTGCCACCACCAAGACAATTTATAAATGGGGTGCCCCTTGATTCCCCAGGTAAATCAATAATAAAAACCCACCAAAAACAACAATATCTAAGCAATTGCAAAATAGTTACTAGTCTCTTCAGGTAACGGGATTCTTAACCAGACACAAGCAGAACTTAAAGGAATATTTATTAAGAGCAAAAAAAAATTAGTCACAGTGCATACGAAAAATATAGATTGAAAAAAAAAACAAAAAAAACAAAAACAAAAAAAAAACACGATTTACACCAACAGATAAAAACCAAAAGGGATAAAATAATAGAGGCCCTAAACACTTACTCACTTAGGTTTTCAAAGTAAGACTTTTGCCCAGGGGATCTCCGGCAAGGAAGATGGAAAATTAGATTTTAGTCCCACGCAAGTACTAAAACATTTCAGTATACTTGGATGTATACCCTGTGGATTATCACACCTGCTCTAGAGATGGCGTTAAGGCATATCTATATAGATGAGTGATGACCACCTTGTGTTCCAGACCAACATCAATCCAAATGGAAACATTTGGTTCTATCGTCTCTTATGTACCTGCCACAGAAATAATTGCATACATGAATATGATTTTCCCATTCTATAGATAAGTCAACATCGTACTTGCGACCCAATATGGCGGACATCACAATTCCTTCCCCTATGGCTAAGTAATGCCAATCAGGTTTGAGCTTGTTTAGAAGATGGCGCTGGACACATTCCAAATATAACAAAAGGGAGACTTAATCATTATTCTTTGGGTAAATATTAAAGTTTTTTCCCTTTGGATAGGATACTGGAACAATGCTAATGGCCTTTAACATATCAAAGAGATTGACTCGTCAATTAAGAGGTACATGCCATATGCCTGAAGCCAGACTTTCAGGCGTAGAATCTCGCAGCTTTCACATTACTATGCAAGTTACATTACCCCTTCTGTCATCTGACCTCCGTGGGGGACGGAGCGTCAAAAGGAATTAAGGCTATAAACCTTCCATACAAATTAACCCCTTTTTAACATTGACAATGCCACCTCTACCAGGCAGGCAGATCATTAATGCACTACACAATTTACATTAAAAGGACAACATTCCATAGTGCAATAATGAATTATGCCCCATTGCCGTGACACTCCTGTCTGCCAGAACCCTTTTGCATGTTACACACATTCAATATGTCTTCTGGTCCAGCACCTACCAGTCCATATCCCCATGTGCTCTAGAATTTAGCTCTAAAATTTGTATTCACCATCCTGTCCCATACACTCCCTACTTCACTGTGTCTGCCTCTACAAATTTCTTACATATCCCACACCGAATACTTTCTTGGGAAAAAACAGAAAAAAAAAAAATCTTAAACTCCACAAACTTCAACCTCCTCCTTGGAGGCTGAAGAAACCATGCATTTCTATTTTTCACTTCAATCAATTTCAGCTTTTAAAGATATACGAAAAAAAAAAAAAAAAGAACCATCTCTTACAAGGTCTGATCTTCTAAACCTAAGCAATAACCTGACGATGCTTGAGATGAGAAAGAATGCAGGGAAATAAAATTACTTGCAAACACTTCACATGTTACAAGAGCAGAGTTTCAAATCATGGCAAACACTGCCCTGAAAGTCAAGAATATGTTCATCTCTTTGAAAACAGCTAGAAAAACATCCATCTTCATTCCACTCAACACGCAGAAGAGGATTGTACAGGTTTGGAAAAAAAAAAAAACCAAAAACATAAAAATGTGTTTAAATTTCCATTAAAAGGACGTTTTAGAGATGAAGAATAATAAATCAATAGCTAAAGAAAACAAATTTGTGATAAAAAAAAAAAAAAAACAAACAAAAAATAGATTTCACTGCATAAGTTTGGATCATATCAAATCAAAGATTGGAAACAATGTATGTGTCTAAAAACACGTAAACATATATTACCATCAAGGACATAAGGTTCAATGCACCTCTCCCTCCTAACCCCCCCTCCCCCAAATATGTTGGAGAGTTAAAAAAAATAAATAAAAAAATTCTCCCCTCACAGTTTATTTCGATTTCATGTTCATTTACCACCTGTGCTCCAAAACCACTTACCAAAAAATAAAAATAAGGTTGAAAGGCGGTTTACATTTGGCAATTGGGGGGCTTTTGACTTAATCTCTGGGTTCGTGAGACCATTCTTAAAGTGGTTTAGTAATATGAATGGGGGAGGTTTTGTAGTGCATGGGTGGAGAAGATGTCCATCCCCAAAGATGTGTAATTACAACAGCTGCAAAAAAAATAAATAAAATAAAAGCCTCACAGGACCTTTGGTGCTAGAACATCATGGAATCTACATTTTCTCCCCCCAGTTCTAAAATATTATAAAATTTTGTGACTTAGAAAGATGTTCTGTCTGAGTTAAAGTTGCTTTCAAGTCCCGGAGAAACAAAACACACAAGTAAATTACAATTGTGGCCATTTTATTTGAGGTTGTATGGATAACATGGATCAATAAGGGCTTATTCAGATGCCTATTGAGTCATTAACAAATCAACTTGGATGTGCCACATATATACAACAAAATTTGGTTAAGAATGTCCCCCCATATATGTTTTACATGCTCTTGTGGGCCTCTTATTCTTAAAGGCCACAAATCTCCAGCTGTTGACAAATAGGGATTGAATATGGTCACTACCAAAACCACTACAATGCAGGGTATAACCTTCACTCTGACTAGCCGCATACGGAGATCTCCCCAGTCAGAGAGTGATAGCATCTCACAAAGGCATTTTAAGAAGCCCAATTCCATATGCATCCACTCTAATCATCTAGAGCAGTAGTTCTTAACATGTTGACAGGCACCCATATAGACCCACTAATACCATTTTTAAAATAAAGTAGTTCCACAAAACAAAGTTCATACAATGCTATAACGTTAGATATTAAAATCAAGGTACGGCAAGAACACTCCAGATTTTTTAAATCAAGAAATCGTTTTATTCTGGCAGGGCTGGATTACAAAAATACAAATAAATTAAGTAAAAATATACAAAAACGCTTGGTTCTTGCCTAAAAGCCAGTGTGTTTCGTGTTTACATTAAAAACGTTTACACAGTTTGCAAAATAGAAGTTTCTCCATTTGCAGATGCAATAAAAAAAATTAAAAAAAAAATTTAAAATGTAAGTTTAAAAACCAAGCATTTGTGGACATGTTCTGTCACAATCCTGTCATGTTAGGCGTGCTGAATCTCCGTAGGGGTCCTAGATAGACACCAAGATGTAGAACTACAATTCCCAGAATTGTTAAGTCTTCTGTATAACGTTCTTTCAATCCTTTTGTATGGCTTTGCTTGCATTTTCTAATATTTTTCTTTTCCACTCTTCATAGTCTCTCTCTTTATTTGCAGACTCTGCGTGCGCCTTCTTGTGAGGAAGCTCATCTTCATCCTCGTCTGGAATTATATTTTAAGAGGTTATATTTAAAGTGAGTTTACCTGTAGAATAATGGGTCTCTTTCAATGGCTGAAGCTTGTCGTCTCAGAGTCAGTAGGAAGATTATGTGTGTGTATATATCAACCAGTTAGCAATAGGCAAGAACCAGGTAGTCTGGATTTAAGTCACTATTCAGTAAGACTATTGAAATCAGTGGTAGTCAACCTTTTTCTACCTACCGCCCACTAATGCATCTTTTTGGTTGAAAAAAAAAAATTCCTTACCGTCCACCAGTTTTCGCGCAAGTGCAGAATATTTTTTAGAAAGGAGGGTGTTTTTTAAAAAAAAAGTGGGCGGTATGGACCAAGTTGACGACCCATGATTTAAATCAGAATTTTTTTATTTTTAAACCTAGGACTCATTCTTTCTGGTTGTTACAATTCTTTTTCAGATTAGTTTAACAGTTAGAACATATTTTGTTATATACCAACAGAAATAGATAATGACGAAATGATTTAAATTGGGGTTAACTATCTCCAGTTTGACAGGTTAATTGCGCATATTTGGAGAACAACTTAAAATAGTAGTGTTAAATTGTGTGTACAAAGATTTTCAAAACAATGGGATTAACTTTTATGACCATTAAAAGGTTTATTTTTCTCCACCTTGGACTGAAAACTCCATTAAACAAAAAAAAAAATAAAAAAAAACAAACAAAAAAAAACGTTTGTATGTGCTAGTTTTTAACATGTCACTGTTAGCAGAAAGATCAACAAACTACCATGCTAGTCCAAAGCACTTTGTAGCTTCACATCAATACACCAATATTTTCCACCCCTTCCAACTGATTTAAACTAGTACAAACTATACACAGGAGAAGCCAAACACTAACCTGGACTATGTTCTATACATTCCAGGAGGGTCTTCTGTTTCTTAACCGGCTGTTTTGTCACAGTTGCATTTTCTTCTGTTTTAGAGAGGGAACATTAGTATAGTACAATTATCTTTGTGGGGTTAAAATGTATTAGTTTACATATGAGAATAAGAGGAGAAAAGAAATTTACAGCATAAAACCATTTTCCCATGATTATAGCCTGGGGCAACAAAAATACTGTAGCAAGACACACAAAGTATAACGAAACCAACTTACGACAAATTTGCAATCCAATTTTTTCCATCTGGACACACAAACGATCAAATATTCCTTTCTTGACCCCAGAAGCAGAAATTAACTTATTCTTTTCCACTTTCAACTTCATGCACCTTAAGAACATAAAGAATGAAAAATCATGTCAGAATAAACTGATTCTGCACAAATCTACGGTTAACTGAACATTTTTTTTTTTTTTTTATTAAGTTAAATGCACAAAATATACATGCCAGTCAGAATTTTATATGTTTTCAAGAATGTGTGTGTGTGTGTGTGTGTGTGTGTGTGTGTGTGTGTAGTAGATACAGTGAGAGTATTTGATTAGTGAATGCAGCGTGTGTAAATATGTGAGGTAGGAATTTGGGGTAGATAGGCAAGCAGGAGCACTGGGGTAGATGGGGTCATAGAGGTTGATGGGGAGCAGGGGCAGATGGGATTGTAAGGGCACTGGGGTAGATGGACGGGGAGCATGGACTCCTAGCTTACCCCACACTTACCAGTTCGGGCCACATTTAGCCCCGCCTGTATTATCAGTATCTTTATAGGCAGAAACCCATATCGCTGAAAATTCAGAATATCGGCCAGACTGATAATCGGTTGACCCTGTCGAAACGTCGATTGCTTAAAGATTTGCACATGTCATTTGCACTAAGGAATAAATTAGATTTTGGATGAAGACCTGTGAGTGCTCCTATATTGATTTTTGTTATATGCCCAACGCTGATGATTGCACCCAGGCAAGATTGAATTTTGTGCAAACAGTAAGGGTGAGTGCCAAGATTAATAAAATATATATATATATATATATATATTTTTTTTTAAATGCAAATACAATGTTACAATGTCTTATTAAAATGACCTTTTGCTGATCTTTCATCTCATTTCGGGTGGTGGTGAGGGGAGGATATGTTTATGAGCTGTCATTTTTGTGTGCAACATTTGCACATCACTGATACAATTTGAGCTGATTTTCTACCCAGAAAGAGTAGCTGAGGCTATAGCTCTGCTGTGAGCTTCACATAGACCAGTTTGATAAACAGAAATGTTTTTTAGCATTGCAATGTACATTACACCAATGCCTATGGACAGGGAAGTCACATGCACTCAAAAAAAAAAAAAAACCCCCACACACCACAAAAATTGCCAATTTTCTACCACACATTAATTTCTCACCTGCATGCACTATACAGTGCTGCCGTGATAAATAGAGGCTTGGACAAATCAAGGTCTTCCAGCTGAGCCTGAGGGAGAGTAGACTCGTACCTACAAAACAAGTATTTGGGGAGTGAGACAATATACAACTTGCGGCTTGTGAAACATTACAAAACAAAAGGTTTTTACTATAACATATCCAGTCGACATTCAGCTGCAGGAAGCATGGACTGCTGCCAGGAGGATCGCTGATCTCAGTGAAATGATCTGAGTACAATGGCTCAGTAGTTTTAATCCTACAACGTTCATTTATTTTAGCTTACATAAAGCAAACCTATAAATAACATTAATATAAAGAGACTTATTCCCTCCCCCTCCCGTATTTCGAATACTATACAGTGAGTAGTTTAAGGCTCTGCTTTGCCAGAAAAAAAAAAAAAAGTGTGATTGCACATTACAAATGAGAATATATATATTTAAAAAAAAAAA